TATTTAGAAACCACCTTATTCTTAGAAGGATTTAATTACCTGACAAAAATGTATGTACCTGACATAACTGCATACATGTAAATTTCAAATAGGAGTAAGAAAAGTAGGGCAAAGGGAAAATGAGAAGAGAGATGACGAAGACAAGCCAGGGCAGGGGTGCAAACACACAGAGCGCAAACCTGAGCCGCTCTGTATTTTCCATAAGCCACTGACTTGGCTCTGAGCAGCCACCACTGAGAGACATGATCCCTTTCTCGATTTAGCATGTTCATTGGATGTTCACCAGGAAAACCACAATCATCTCTGGAGCAAAATACTATTTATCCCATGAGTCTGTGCATAAAGCGGGTAACGTGAGATGCAGTGAACAAAGTCCTCAACGACACCCAAATGGTTGAGAGAAATCCTAACGACATTGACTGCTATATCCAAATTCCCCTCCACATGAGCCAATTCCAAATCCCACAGTGGAATTTATCAGCACTTCTTCCGGTATGTTTCAAATTTTTTTTAAAAAAGCAAACATATATGACTTTTATAATCAGAAAATAAACATTTGTTTCATTAAGAAAAAACTAAAGGAAGCAGTACCCTTGACAGCCTGGCATTGACTTTAATGTAGAAGCCCTCAGCCATGCGCTCCAAGAGAAGGCTCTGTCCAGTCCTGCTGTTTTTGACCAGTTGAGCCTAGGTGCCAGGGTGAGAGAGGAGGCAAAGACAGGCTATTCTGAGATCTGGAGCCTTGGGGTCAAGGAATTTTTATCATGTGGATAATCAGGCTCCAGGCGTTGACTATAAAAAGCACTGGTGAATGGCAATTATCATTTGTCATTTCTCAAACTGAGCACTGCATCCTTATATCTAGTTTATCAGTATAAATAATTTACACCTGGATCTCTGTTGCTCACTGCTTTATGCCCAGTGCCTCGAACAGTGCCAGGTACAGATGAGCAGTAAACACTTAGCGAATAACGGATGTGCTCGTCTGGGAGATCCTACAGATATTCTGAGGTTGTATTGGCAAATTCTTCCCCAGCTGGTTCTTATTCATGATGTTCCAGCTTCGAGATTCTCACCTGTGACAATTAGACAGGTGAGATAGCGGCCCAGAGGAGGAGGCCAAGCTCCTGAGCATGCATCAAGGAAAACAAATTAAAAATTGAAAAGGGAAACTGAATAGCCAGCTGTCTGGTCTTGCTTTGGTCCCATTGTTGCAGAGATAAACATTTGGACGGCTCAAGGCAAACACAGCTTTGGGTTCTGAACAGGCAGTACTGCTTTCTCTTGCCCGCCAGTACTTAATTGTGAAATCTGTTCTTTGTTCAATGCAGGGACCTGCCTGCTCCTAAAGGGCAGGCCTATTCTCAGGATACCGCCTGGAGCTCTGAGATGCCTGCTCTCTGTGCAGCGGGTCCCACTTGCTCTGCATGGCCCCAGCAGCCTGGGCAGGATTTTCTCCAAGGAGACCTTCAGAGAGCAGCTGGCACCTTGGGCAGGCTCAGGCAGAGAGGCCTGAGTGGACCATGCTTCTACATGCAAATGTTAAAACAAGCAGGCCAAGCATCCTCAGGACCAAATTGGCTAAAAGACGGTAATGTCAAAATGTCACAGCCAAAGTGACAGCTGGCAGTGGCTTAGAAAAGAAAAGGCATTATCTTCGACTGGGAAGGAATGACACAAAAGGAGCACCAGACTGGGAGACAGGGAGCTGGCAGGTACTAGCCTGGCTCTGTCACTCAAAGCTGAATGTTTTTAGACAAATAATTGCCCTTGCTCTATCTTGATTTTCTCAACTGTAAAACGGAAATGAATTCACCAATAAGATTGGCCTGTTTTCTTGTAATGAACCCCTGCCATACAACAGCAATAAGGAGATATGGAAAAAATACGACATCGTCCTTCCCCTACAAACTGATCATAACATATAAGGCTAGGACAGTGCCTGGCTCACAAGAGGCATTCAACAGTGTGATTGCCAGGAGAGTATCAAGGTGGCCACTGGGTGTGCTTGGCCCAGTGAGTTCCACTTCCACGATATCACCCGCATGGACTACCTGCATCTTCTGCTTGGTGTCAGTGCAGACCGTGCCTCACCAGGACCACAGCAGGAATCTGCTCCCTTGCCATCACTAAAGCAGTAGCTCGCTGCCCTAACTTGTCCTATAGCCTCCAAGCTCCAGCCTCACCCATTCAGTCTCCACTTGTCCCCCAGCTCTCTCTGCACAATACCCCTGCCTGAAAATCTCCTTGTTCTACAAACTTCAAAAATGCCTTTTCTTTTTTTTTTCTTTTTTTTGAGATGGAGTCTCGCTCTGTCGCCTAGGCTGGAGTACAGTGGCGTGATCTTGGCTCACTGCAAGCTCCTCCTTCTGGGTCCGCACCATTCTCCTGCCTCAGCCTCCTGAGTAGCTGGGACTACAGGCACTCGCCACCACGCCCAGCTAATTTTTTGTATTTTAGTAGAGACAGGGGTTCACCATGTTAGCCAGGATGGTCTTGATCTCCTGACCTCGTGATCCACCCACCTCAGCCTCTCAAAGTGCTGGGATTACAGCCATGAGCCACTGCGCCTGGCCCAAAAATTCTGTAGCATGGCCTTTAAAGCCCTACCAGGCTGTCTCCAGGACACTTCCCCAGACTTTGGGGTCTGCACCCCCTATTCCCCAGAGCACCAGGCTCCTTCTCTGCTTTTTCTGCTCCTCACTTTGAGGGCTTTCCTCTCCTTTGATTCTCAAGATCCTAACTCACACTTAAAAGCTCACTGCAAATGCATTCTGTCTTATTAGGCATTCTTCACAAATTCCAGCCCACCTAGTGGTCATTTTCTTGTGTTTAAGTTTGGATATGTTTTTATTTTTGATATCTTCCCACCATAAAGCAGTTCATCTTGAAATGGGAGTTTTAGTTCAAAGGCTTTCCTCCCTATGAAGGCTTTTCTGATCAGCCCTACTTTCCCCTACAGCCCCTCCCCACACCCCACATGTGCACACCGTGTTTGTACTCATAGCACTTATCCTCCATGCAACCCTTCGATAATGTCCATACAGGGTGCAATAGAATCAGAATCCTTCCTTTTTTTCTCCAGAGCTAAAACAAATACGCTTGGCCCAGAATTAGTGTTCAGTAACTCTTGGCAATGATGATGAAGAAAATTAAACCTGTCTATAATGGCCACATGGAAGGAACAAGTGTCACATTTGTGCAACCAAACTGTCTACTGCTCCCCATTCACTATCACCACCATACATATAGAATACACTACCTCCATTTTGTCCCCATGAATACCCAGACTCAGAATTCAACCTCTCTAAGTTTCCAATGCAGAATCCACTCCTCTTTAAGCATGAAAGAGCAATGGAGACTTCACTGAAGAGGCAGGAGGAGAGATAGAGGTGCTGTCACACAGTGCAGCCAACAGCAAGGCCCCTCCAAGTCCCCACTAGACACTGTCCCTCCTGGGTCACACCAGACTGAATTGTCTCCCTCTCTGCCTTCCTCCAAGCAGCCACTGACCTCACCAGTTTCTCTCTCCTCCTCCAAAACTCCAACTTTAAATGTCCCCTCTTTCCATTTTGCCATCAATTGACATCAGCCATGGTTTCATATCCAGACTCTCCAGCACACAGCTCACAGCAGATCCCTCGGTGAACAGAACCTGTCCTTCTTGAAGGCTGTGTGGCCAGCACCTTTCATTACTCAAGCACCACGTTCATTCTCTCACTCCTTCCCGCAAAAGAGTATGTGATATTGATCCCAGACATAACACTGAGTTCTCCCCAAGAAGCATTCTGAGAAGTGAAATTCTCACCACCTCCCTCCATCTACAATCACCTCCTCACTGAGTTTTTGCTGTGAGACTCAGAGATAATGACTATTTTCCAGTGTCCCTGCCTGGTCTTTGAGCCACTCAGGTCTCAGGATATCCCTACTTCTTCCATCTATGAACCAAATGACTCTTGACTGAGCCCTAGCTTCAAGCCAGGACAGGTGGCCCAAACAAAGCAGCTTCCAGAATCACAATGAGAAATCACTCCAAATGCAACATTCTTCTCAGGGAAACTCCTGACCCAGAGCAGACCCAAGAAAGAAAGCCGTAGGGCAGGGCTTTCCCAAAGCATGGGCCTGGCTATGGTGACCAATTCATCCCTGTTTGCCCAGGATGTCCCAGTTTTTGCACTGAAAGACTCATGTCTCATGTACCCCTCAGTCTCAGGCAAACTGGGATGGTTGGTCACTATAAGCCTGTCCCAGTAATGATCCTTGACAAAAACCAAGGGCTCATGAGGTCAGACAGTGAAGCCAAGCTTCATATAAGCAGATCAGAGAGACATTGGATATGCACAGAGAAGGGGCAGAATCAGCCCTGGTTGCAGGTGGGCCTAGGAGACAACTTCATCAGAAAAGGGCACACAAGTGAGCTCCAGGTACAAGGGCCAGGCAGCCTCAGGTGGGCTGCTGATGCATCCACCATCAGGATGACTGATTTCCACCGTGCACAGGGCCCAGCTCACATACTGCAGAAAATTAGGAAACTGCTCCAAGAGGGGGTCCCTACGGGCTACCACAGGACAAGAAGAACATCCCCTGAAGGCCACCAAACACACACACACACTCACTCAGCACTCCCTGGGATCCCCGCATTTGTAACCCTTCCATAAGTTTCTGGTATGTCTCCTTAACCCTCTTCTCCTCTCCAAGATGATGGAGGGTGTGTGTGTGTGCGTGGGTGTGTGCTTATTAGCAGAGGAAATGTGCTAGATCCTCCCAACAACCCTTCTCCTCTGCAAATCCCACTCCCTGCAAATCCCCCTACAGACCACTGTGCACGAGGAGGAACCCAGCCTCTCCTCCATGACCACGCGGGAGCACTTGCTGCTCACCCCCACCTCCCAATAGCCAGCCTCCTGCAGAAGACCCTGGGGAACATCACGTCTCATAAGCAAAGCCATCTTGGCCTAGAGAGCAAGGCCTCCTAGTGTGAGAAGTGGGTGGAAACTCACCAGGACTCTGCCAGTCAGTGTCTGGGCGGATATCATCACCCCCGCCCAGTCCTTCACGGAGGTCATCCAGCCGACCTCGGCGGCCACTGCCTCCTCTTTTTCATCCACTGGTTTGAGAGTGCCATCCGCCTGGCTTGAGCCATTGTTAATCTTCTGGGCCTCCTGGCAACAAAGAGAGCAAGAGTTGAGTCATAGACAACAACTGGATTTAAATAACATGCCCTGCCCATAAAGAACCAGAGCCCGAAGGGGTCCCCAGCTGAGGTGGAAACTGGCTTAAAGGTACAGGAGTAAAGCAAAAGGGATAAATTATGCCTTTGAATTTTTTAAAGTCTTTATTTTAAAAAGAATATTTTCTTTATTTCCTCTTAAAATATCTTAGTGAAACAAAGAAGGATGGTACTATTTTATTTTATTTTATTTTATTTTATTTTATTTTGTTTTTTGAGATGAAGTCTCACTCTGTCACCCAAGCTGGAGTGCAGTGGCACGATCTCAGCTCTCTGCAACCTCCACCCACCATGTGCAAGCAATTCTCATGCCTCAGCCTCCCGAGTAGCTGGGATTACAGGCAAGCACCACCACGCTCAGCTAATTGTTGTATTTTTAGTAGAGATGGGGTTTCACCATGTTGGCCAGTCTGGTCTTGAACTCCTGACCTCAAGCGATCCGCCCACCTCAGCCTCCCAAAGTTCTGGTCTCCTGCCATTTTAAAGGAAAAAAAAAATACCAAAGGAAGAGGAAAGGCAACCTGTCTAAGATTTGGGCATGCTGAGGAGGGAGGAGGAAAGTGTGGGAGATGTCCTGTGGTCTTTGCTTACCCAACCTCTCTGCGCCTTTTCACAGCAGCACCCCCACTTTCCTTTAGGAAAATTATTATCTCTTCCTGTCAGTCTATGTGGTTCAAAGGGGACAGATGGCCTGCCATTGGCTCCAACAGTAGAGTCCTTTCTACCCCCTGTCAACAGCAATTGGGCCATGAATAATCACATGATCCATGTCAAGCCAATAAGACTCAAGCATGGAACATTTGCAGGAAAGAATAGGAAAAGTCATCCTTCTCTGAGAATGAAGCCACTGCAGAGAAAAGTAAAAGTAATAGACTATTGATGTCATCATTTGAACACCTGGATCCAGCTGTGCCTGAAATCCACACCAGAGCCTTTCAGTTACAGGAGACAATACATTCCCCTTGTGGCTTAAAATGTGCTTGAGGAAACAAGGCTGATCTCATCAGATAACTGAGCCCCACATAGTGACCTAAATTGTAAACCTCTGCACACAGTGAGTGTTCTGCCTAGAATACTCTTCTCCCACAGAGACTTATGGCCTGCTCCCTTAAGTCTTTGCTCAAATATCTCCTTTTCAAGGAAGTCTTCCCTGGCCACCTGTTCAAATTTGCAACACTTTCTTTCCAATAGCACTTTTCTGCTTTATTTTTCTCCATAGCACTTAAAACCTCTAATATACTTAATAATTCATTTACTTCTTTCACTTACTGTCTGCCTCCCCCACTGCTACATCCTTGGTGCCTAATAGAGTGTCTTGCACAGAGCTGGCTCAATAACCATGAATGAATGACTAGAAAGGGCTATGAGTATCAGCCCCTCATTGGCTACAGAGGCTGGGTTTAGTGTTGCCAGATAAAATACGGGATACCCAGTAAAATTTAAATTTCAGATAAACAACAAATAACTTTTTAGTGTAAGTATATTCCAAATACTACCTGAGACATACTTATACTAAAACCTTACTCATTATTTATCTAACAATGTACATTTAACTGGACCCCAACACAAATACCCACTGCAATTATTACTGCAGATGAAGATGTTTAAAAAGATGCCAGCAAATTATGTTCATCATTTAAAACTGTGGAATTAATTCCCAAGGCAAAGTCACACTGGGGATCATTGTGATTTGGAATAAGGGGAAGAACAAAAGACAGAGGTGAAAGGTGAAAAGCTTTGTCTGCAGTGACAAAGGGGGCGGTGCAGAGGGAGGTCAGGCACGCGGGAGGCAGGTGGGGAGGGCGCACTGGTGAGCCATCCTCTTGGGGACTTGGCCATGGCAGGCAGGGAGCTGCTCCCAATTCCCCCTTTTCTCCCTCTGGCTGCCTGTGGCTCAGGGAAGCTGGGGAAGAGAGAAGCCAGACCTGCAGCCCTGGATGCTAATATTTTCTTTCCAAATGTGTTAAGCTCCACGGAGATAGAATGATCCAAGATAAGACCTGGGAGGGGGAGGCCACAGGGCAGATGTATTTGGGGGCTGCCGGCTGACATGTGTGGGACCTGCTGCCCAAGCCTCCCAGGCCAGCCTCAGATAGGATCTGTTAGGTCTTGCCCTGGTCCTTGAGCCTCTGTCCTGTGAGACTCTGAACAGGAGGGTATTTAGGAGGAGGGGGAGGCCCTGATACAGGGGCAGCCATGGCAACTGAAGGTGTAGAGTCAGGGAAAAAATCCAGCTCTCCCACCGCTGTGGAACCTCCTCCATAAGATGGGGACAGTACTGCCAGCCCCTCAGGCATTGTCAGGATTAAACAGTGCCCAACAGCACAAAATACAGGTTCAGGCAATGATCCCAGCACCCCTTGCTTCATCTCATACCACTGACACCATAAAGCAATGGTTCTCACAAATGAGCGGGCATCATAAGCACACCAGAGGGCTTGTTGAAACACAGTGTGCCGGGCCCATCCCAGAATCTACATTTGAAACAAGATGTCAGGCACTGCTGATGCTGCTGGCCTTGGGAGCCCACTTTGGGGACCACAGCTCCTGACCACCCTGGTATGGCTCAGTGACTGCTGAAATGAGACACGGATCTTTACCCCCAGCTCTCTCCTGGTCTCTTCCTTCACCCAAGGACAGAACCACCTGCTTGTTTCAATACCGGACATTGGTGGAGGGGTGGGGAAAAGATGAGGACAGGGAAATGGTCCTCACATCTGAGGCTCTAATGTTTCCTTTTGAGTCATGCCTCCCAGGATGTTTCTGAACTGATCCCTGGCCACCACGTGGGGACCTGGAAGGCTAGTTCCCTGCTTCTCAGTCCTGGGGGCCCAAGTTCCACAGCCCCTTGGTAGACCCTGGAGAGGAGAAATCAATGTGAAAACAGCTGGGAGGCAGGGGGCCCTCCAGTCACAGTGGTTAACTGCATCAGTAATTCACAGCACAAGAGGTATGTGGCAGATAATGCTATTTCGCCAGCCCTCTTACCTATTGTTTTACAAGGCATTCATTATTTTAATTACTTTATGATAGGCAAGGAAAAACACAGACTAAAGGGAGATAATGCCCTTGTTATTATTTGCTTTCACTAGATGTTGTGAGCTTAATTACCATGTGTGGGAAGCAGGACTGGGAGGAGTGATGGGGGAGCTATTTAAAGCCTGATGCCTGCTGGCCAGGCTAGCCACCAGGCTAGCCACAGATCTTGTGCCTGGAGGAAGAGGCCCCTCTCTCCACCACTGACTTCACTCTGGCCAAAGCACCCCTTATGGGGAGCAGGCATTATAACTCCATGGTCCAAAGAAAAAGGAATAGAGAAGGTTCAGTAGCCTTGCTGGGAACATGCAGGGGCAGAGTCCACTATAAGAGTATTGGCCACCATTGAACAAGCCAGAACTAGGTGCCAGCAACTAAGAATTAAGTGTTCTCTATGCATTATCTTGCTTAAACCTTATAATACATCCAACAGGCAAGTGAAATTATTTCCATTTTACAGACAGGGTTGACTAAGAGCTGGTATCTCTCAGAAAAAGGCACAGAGCCTGAGAGCTTAGGTTGGAAGCAGAGAGCCCACCTGGGCTTGTACCTGCTCCAGAACTTCCAAGCTGATGGCTGTGGCCCATCAACCCTTGAGCCTCAGCCTCCTCCGTGTAAGATGCGGACAAACGTGCTGCCTCATTAAGGTGGTGGGGAAGCTGAAGCTTGGCACAGTCCCGGGCACACAGCGGTTATGGCTGCCCTGATGAAGCACCCACTGATGGGGCTGGGGCCTCTAAGGGTAATCTGTTGAAACTGCACTGCTTTCATCAACCAGTGGCCCTGGGAGGCACACTGGCCAGAGTGAACCTTTAATAATCACAGAATTGAGGACAAGGGAGTGCAGGTTCTAACACTGTTATCCTCCAATGAGCAAGCAGCCCCTAGAAGGTAAGGTGCTGTGACTCCTGCAGAGCTTCTAGTAGGCGCTGTGTGACCATCACCCAGGACAGCTGGGGCAGGGGTTCCCACACAGGGTGGACCCTAGACCAAGTGACATCTCAGATCCCTTCTGACTTGAAGTCCCATTAGATCAACCTCCCATTTTTAAGATGAGGAGGCTGAGGACCAGGGAGAGGCTGCCTCCTGAGTCCCAGCATTCTGCTCTTGCTCCTGTCCCCACAGGACACTGCCTCACAGCGGAACAAATGGTTTGTTCCAAATGGCAAAGGGGATATCCAGCCACACCCAAACCTTCCACCTCTCACTGCAGAGGACCCAGTCCTTATGCAGGAAGCACTTCTGAGTAGTGGCAGCCTGATGTCAGTCAGGAAATCACTGTGTGTGTGTGCATGTGTATGTGTGCATGTGTGTGTGCTCACACATGTGTATGCATGTGTGTGTGTGCTTGTGCTCACACATACGTGTGTGTGCGTGTGAGTGTGTGCATGTGTGTGCTCACACATTGTGTGTGCATGTGTGCGTGAGCACATGCGTGTGCTGACACATGCGTGTGTGTGCATGTGTGTGAGTGCGTGTGCTCACACATGCATGTGTGCATGTGTGTGTGTGTTTAAGGGAGAGGAACCCCACTGGCTGCAGCCTCCAGCTACCCCAGCTTCAGGAGGACAGGCCACCAGATCTTCTGAAATGGAAGAAAAGATGCCTTGGGAAAAGAGAGGAACATTGAGGGAAAGACAGGGAGAAAAATGAGAGGTGGGGCCATCGGGTGGGAAGGCCATCTCAGAAAGAGGAGGTCCTGCAGGAGCCCTCCCCCTGCCCTTGGCCACTCCCTGAGAAAGGTGTTCAGCCTTGCACTGGAGGCCACTCTGTTGTTCTGCCTCGAACCCTGCCCTCTCTCCCCACCAGAGCCTTGTGTAAAGCAGGCCACAGCTGCCTCTCAGTGGCAACAGTGACATCTAATCTCAATGCCCACATCAGAGGGTGGGGAGGGAT